GTAACTAGACTATTTCAACGGGTCGTTTACCAGTGAAATTGGTCAATATAGCGAGTAAACACTATATCCATGGCCATCAGTTTGCGAGACCGTTTCGTGCTCACGCTGACGGATTTGGGTCAAAGGTATTTATTTACCTAACAGATACATCGCGAGATAGCCCTTTTCGCAACTTTAGGTGCCACCCGCATATAAAGTAACTCGCTATTAATGTACCCGATACGTAATTATTTAATTTGTAGGTTTTTGTTGTATTAATTAATTGTAAATTAACTATTTGTTATAAGAAAATAGTTTCGTTTTGGCGTCATCGCAATACATTTGTTGATGTTTACATCCATTTCAAACGTTATCATCATTAACGTGGAGTAAACTTGTATTACTAATCGACTTACTTATTTTTTCGGTTCATTGCAAACGATGACACGGTTTATTATATGGATGAAATAAAAACTGTATTGCGTGCCGCTTTCATCGGCAATGTCGCAAGGCGAGTGTTGTGTCACATAAGAATTGTAGTCCAGGTGTTCCTTACTGAAATTTAGGGGCCCTAAATATTATTGCATTATTTATTGCGATGTTGTAAAGCATATTCAGAGGGTATGGTCGTTTCATTGTAAGCTGAATAACGAGAGTTTGAACTATCAATTGCACAGGCGCCACGTATGGTGAACTTTGATGAGGAAAGCGAGTCCATGAATTGACACATAGTTCTGAGATAATTGAGAGAGGTTTACATCATCTGAAATTCATACAAGATATTCAGAGACCGCTCAGATAGAAAGCCGCACGCGTAATTGAGAATTGAACAACTTGCGCGTGGACATAGTTTGACAAAAGACAAAACTTGGACTGTTTACTTTAACATTACACGCTATTATTCAAAGCTTATAGAAATCTCTTTCAAAACTTTTTCCCATAGTTTCGGAAGTTGTGACTAAACCTTCTTAATTTTAACCAATCAAACATTAACTTCTGTATTGGAAATCTACACTATTTACTGTTTTTCGAAACTTAGCCTGTTACACTTCGTTATTTATTTAGATCTCTTTATTACCTTCATTTATTACCGCGGGCTCATGCTTTCTCTGTTGCCCGGACATCACGGTGCTGACTGCTACGGTGCTTAGTATTTAACAACTGTAGATTTAAATGGCATATTTATATCGGCGATTGATTTCTCGTTGGCTTATAGTAAGAAAGCTGAGTGTTTAATCGTCAACAATTAGACAACTCATAATATAACATTAATATCGAGGTAAAATTCCTTTGTCTTGAGTTCACGGTGCATTTTCGTACTTGGGTATTTCATCTTAGAACATGATCCACCAGTGTGGAATGTGCTACGGCCCGGTACGTTAATAAAATGCAATTTAATTTAAGAACTAATCGATTCGAATGTTAGTTTCCAATTGCACATTTTTATAAGTAACATGTACTAAACTTAGAATTGAAAGTATCTGTTTAACATATTACGATGAACACAGTCATTGTCGTAAATCAGAAATAAAAATATTTGCCTTTAAATTCCAGATTACATACGACACTATGTATTTTAACTCACATCTCATTCGTGTGAAATCGCATAAGAATTTTATCTAGACGGTATTATGAGACGCCTGGATATTAATGACACACTTTTTTATACTTTGTGCGACAATGTGTGGAGTAACCGATGTTACAGTGAAATTTATTGTTGTGTTGACAACGGGTAGTTGTGTAACGCTTTATGTTCGACCAGTGAAATTTACGTAGAGAAGACATGAAGACGACTCTTAGTTCAAGGTGCGCACCTTGAACTAAGAGCTGCGGCTGAAGCTACTCTTAAAAGTCGCCGCTATAAGTTGAAGTAAATGTCTTTATCACAAGATTGTAGCTATAAAAATGTCCACAACGATCGGTTTTGTATGTAACTTTATGTAACTACATGGTCGACATCGAAACTGGGTATTTTGGAGATTTCGGTCGATAGCACTCGTTACCTCTAAAGACTGACTGTTTCAAAACCTCTCAAAGCGTTAACCAGCTCCCTTTTATTAACGTCTTTATTATTATTACCTTTAGCGGTTGTATCAAGCTTCAGTCTTGTCCTCACAAGACGTTCCTTGCCACACGATTAAAATTCTCCACGCGTCTCGCGGTCTTTAATAAAAATGTTTATGGGGTTTGTAAGTAAAAACCATCAGTAATATTTTTAGGTTGTGGTTATTTTTTTCGTGCCCGATGCTTGAATTATGAGCTCGTGGCCATAAGCCAGACTCACAGACCACATTCTTCCGTGGCCAGACCGTTGACAGTAATTTTAGTGTTGTTAGTCCTGTCGATATATCAACCTATAGGTTAAACTCAATTAGTCCAACCATTTTATAGCCTTCGGAACCAAAGAGGTCGTTTTGAAAATAATTCCCTTTGTGCTCTAATGATTCATGCATCGATTATGAATTAATCAATGTCTGTGTAGGGGGATTTATGGCTTTATTTATTTGTTTAGTCTTACTAAAACGCTGTTATTTAAAATATGAATTGGCTGAGAGTTGAGACGCTTTCGTCGAATAATATTAATCATGTAAAATATAAGCAAACGTGGCGATGTAAGTGACTGTCATGTCGGGCAACAATCGAGTGACCCCATCTCTGCGCTCAATTTTAATAACAACGAAGTAATAATGATCGCACCGCCCTGTCTCGGCCGTTTAAATTTTAAAATATGTCGACACATCGCGGAAGGGCACCGATATGTGTTTTTGGGCAAGTCTTTTTAGCTTTGTTAAAGCAGCGGAAGAAAAAATGCTCTATATTGAGAGAAATACTGTTTTGCATCAACGTCATTACTTAATGGGTAAACCTGTTTGAGTTGGGTGGTTATAAAATATTTTGATCACCTCTATTTTTTCGATCTCGACTCTTGTGATTGATCGTTTAAATAATCTAAGCAATTAGAGCGTAACAATAAGCTTGCTCTTTAAAACACTTACCTTATCTCGTCTTTGTTTTATGCTTTGACGCAACTACTTCTGCAAATTATGAAATAGCAATACTTGTTCCATTTGAATTCCTGAGGTTTAGATACCGTATCCGGATATTTAGGATTTTTATGACACAACGTATGACGAGTACTTTCATTCTAGTTGGAAATCGACTATAAACGTGGGTAAGATCGTAATGAATACTTGAGATCGTAAATTCTTTCATCGCATTGTGGTTGCTTGGCTAATCAAAGTTGCAATCTGAACCCTGGATTTTAAATGTCTTTTATACTGTTAATAGCTAATGTTTAGCAACTCGGATACACAGAGGTTAAAAGATGAAGTGATATGAATGGTTTAATAGTGGAGTGTGAACAGAGCCGCCATTGTTGGGCCTATTAACAAACGAGTTTTGACACGCGAGTTTTGAAACATTTGGCACCGCATTTCATGATTAAATAAATAAACGTTTATTAATATTGCTCAAGCTTGTGATAAGCAATTTATTTAGAACACCTTAATTGAATATCTCAAATAATAATACGGTTGTTGTAACGAATTAATAAAGCCCGATTTGCGTTTTAAACGACTCCATCTAGAATATCTTAAAAATGTGTACACGAGTAGTTTTCACATTTAATTAATATAGTTTGTATGAATTTCTGGTTAAGGCATTTTCTTTTTATTTTGTACGCGTTCGCCAAATTAGGTAGCAGGCGTTTATTTCAACGTAGATCGATTGATTTACAACATGCAAATTCGTTTCTAGAGTTCAATGCGTAATAAACCGAAACCAAATCCTATTATTCAACGTTTCGATCGTGATCATTATGTTAACCACGGCCAATCAATTTTGGCAAATGTAGATTGGCAATCAGCTACATGCCAAAACTGACTGACTGACGTGTTTCCTTTGTTAACAAGGTAATAATGACCGGTAAAATCGAAACGTGGGCAATACGTCGTTGTACTCATAGCAGTAAACTAACAGAACTGAGTATTTAACATTTCTATTGGTCTTGTGGTCTACTAAATATCGAGAAGTTTATGTATGAGGTTAGTACGAAAGCAAGGCCATCGTCACTATGACGGCGATTGCATAAATACGAGGTGGCTTATTCAAGGAAGTAGTTGCGGTAACGACCAATTTGCGTTGGTAAGCCGTCTCCACGCTTTTTTCCCCTCAACCTTCCTTAATGAGCGGAGAAACGCGAATCGCGCTCGCAACTTTTATGCAAATACATTTTCTTCTATTTTCGAAAGTTCTACAAGTTCTTTATGGATGGTCTTTTGTATAAAGTTTATATATTTTTGTGTGTGTTCGATTTGGGTCCTTGGTTTGTGCTCACATTCAGTATTTTGAAAAATGATTTACTACTCCCGTTGCCTTATTATCCGGTCAGAAAAACTTTCTGCATGTATGTGTGTTTGAAAGTTTCTATCATATTTTATGGGTACTTTCCATGATGCATCTTTGTCACCAGCCCACTGTAGAAGCGGAGGAAGCAGAAAAGCTAGTGTAGGCGGATCAGTCCAATTACGTCAGGCGGGAATGAATTTACGGCGGCGCCTGTGCGCTCTCACCTTGACATGTCGCAGACGCGCGGTGTAATCCCTTACAGTAGTATTGAGAGTGGTCCTTTTTACTACAGGACTGATTGACGGTTTTTCAGTAGAGTATAAAGTGCCCCTTTTTTATATATTTTATATTTACACATAGAGGCCAGGGTTTTAAAGGAATCAATTTAAATAAGTTACATGCGAGGTTTAAGGTATTATATTATTTTTAATTATATATATTTCCAATGTCTAAAGTTTATTTTTTCTAATAATTTATCTATTTTGGTTAATATATAGCTCGATGTTGCTGAGAATCGTAATCTATGTGTACATATTAATAGAGAGGAGGTAGAGCAGGCGGAGGCAGCGCGCGCGCGCTTTTGATCCGCATGCACTGGTGAGATGCCGGCAGTCGCGCGGGAAACATCGTGGCGTACATACGTGTGGGTTGTTTATTAGTCTTGCGAAAATTCGGTCTTACGAACTTATTTACGATAACATCATTTATTTTCAAGATTGTGTTTGGACTTAACGATGCATAAACTAAAATGGTGACTGGACTGTAACGACATACTTATTTGGCAGGTGTTTTGCTAATAAATAGTGCAAAACAAAGACTATACAAATGAAGATGACCGTAAACCGTATAAGGGTGGTAGTCCTAGGGAGCCCTAGGAGCGGTAAATCAGGTTAGTATGAATTTATTTTGCTTTGTATGTGATTGTGTATTTAATAATTGTCTTGTAAAGGGATGTTAATGCCGTTTTCATAATCTCAGTAATAATTTGTTTAAAAAATTCAACAAGCAATTGAGTATACAAGGCGAAATAACAAGACAGGTATATTTTTTTTACTAAACAAACAAATTATACCCTTGGTGGGTGTAGTGTAGTCAGCAATAAAACTGCCATTTAATTCAGTCTCGCATCTGTAATTCAGAGCAGAGAACCCTACAATTTGAGGTGGCCAAACTGCTTTTAAGAGGTTATTAAATTTAAATCGGCTAATACAGGAGAAATTGAAATTTATTATTATTGTTTAATTTTCTGTGAGAATCAATGTAAGGTACGACATTATCGGATGTATGAGGCAATTAAAATTTCGATTATCAAACAAGTGCAGGTTGTGTCTAAACAGAAATTTAGAGTTCAATAATTAATCTGAGGATGACTTGATTGGCTTTGTTAAATATAAACTAGCAATACCAAGCCGTTGTTGTCCCTAATAAAATAATTAGATAATATCCGTTTGAGATCATACAGTTTCAATAATTAGAACATCAATTGCAATTTGTTACCCTTATCAAACTAGTGTAAGAGAAATCTCGGGATCATATCTCATGAATTATTGATAACTGAGCAACTAGATAAGTCGTTCAAGTACATTTGCTAATGTATGCAGGAATTCTGCATCATTATTTGCTTTCTTGAATCTTATCACTGCATTCCTTTGGATGGAATTCTCTTTAGCAACGAGTGTCACATATGTTTAGTATGTCAGTCTTTCACGGCCACAGATATCACTGTTTATTAAGCACTATTCTGTAGTCCTTTTGTAAATATTGTTAAATTCCATTGAAGACAAAACATTTAGTTGTCTTTCACCGTGATGTAATGCAAACAAGTAGTTCTCTTTTCTTAGTTGCAAGTCATTCAGTGTTGGTATTGTTTGTTATTGTTAGACTTGTAATTATTTTGATATCCTTATTCTTTATTGTGTATTTATTCTAATCTCGATAGTGTAATGGAACTAGAACGTTGTCGAAGTTAATTTATCCTATTTTGTTTGTACTTAATATTTGTCTGTATAGGCTTTTGTAGTCTAACCACAACTTGCCTTGGCACCCTTATCTAAATAAATTTTTGAATGAATTGTATTTCTAAGGACGTCTTAGTTCATGTTTCAAAATATTTCTCATTTGTATTTATAGTCCGACTTATCGAGTCGTACCGACTTGTTGTTATCTCAGTGTTAATGACCTGGTGAGGTAAGAATTGCAACAAATCCTTATACAAAATGAACTTCTTATTACGGTTATTGAACATGCCAGGATTTCAGATTAGCCGGACATATTTATTTCATAAATAGCAATACAATTTGCGATACCTATTATAAGCGTGTGTGGAGCAACGACCTCGACGCGTACGGCGTTAAGGCCTGATCGGACGTTTAACATTACACAACTTGGTTGGTTGGCGCCAGGCGTCGCAGCCGTCGGGAAATCGCGCCGCTGACCCACCGGCCGAGTCGCCGGCGACTGGTTGTAATTGCACCGCCCTAATTGTCGGCCGGCTGACGGCTGACGGACCGGCCGCGGCTGCCCCGCGACGCATGCGTTTGCAATTCATTACGGACAGGCGCAGGGCCGACATGCGAAATTGTTTTTAAAGTAGATCCTGTCTACGAACTGCCCTAGCGGGAGTGGACCTCGTCGGTCACGGATCCGCGGCCAACTAACATAGTTTATTTTATTACTCTGTCATCATCCTCTCGGTTAGGTACGCGTATAATTTCTATTTTGTCTCAAAATATTTTTCTAAACTTCAATTTTACATTTAAAAACACCGCGAAGAGTGCTTATGAAACTGCTTTATGTAACCTGTTTTCAGCGCGCTACCTCCACTACCTTATGTAGGTCGTATTATAAACAATGTGTTCCCTCTAATTGGTATTCGTTGTCGAATATTGTAATTTGCGAAAATAGGACGTATGTGTTGATACACTACCTACAACCACATATAACAATTGTTAGTCTTCTGCCGCGTAGAATTCTCAGGAGTTCAACCCTTTTTTACGGGCAATGAACTTGGGTAATTTGGACAGGTTTGGAATAAGGTTGCTTGTATCTTATATGAAGTGGAAACTTGCAAAAGGACATTAAGCCCATAACAGGGATGCTTACTTTTTTCTGACTTGTCGCGAGGTGCGGTGCCGAAAAGTGACGTTAACAGTTGTGTGTCCGCAAACCTCAATCGTAGTGCGAGCTCTCGGGGCAACGCGCGTGCAATGGCCGACGACCTTCTCACGGCATAATGATAAATGACCACATATTGATGCATAGCCGACATCACTAGTCTACGCCGGCGATGTATTCGACTGTAATGCGCTCACCTGACTACAATTTTAAATCGATCACGAACAATTTGGCCGAACGATCTGACGTTCTTGAATTCCTGAGATATAAATTCCTTACCAACGCAATGCGGAATGCGAGAGAACGCCTCGATTACATTGCATGCCATGAGCATTAACGCGTTGATTTTTGTATTTTTAATCTCGATTAAACTCTCGAGTTTCTTATAATATGGTCAACATTATGTAGATTGCTTGCGTTGGCGCTATCCAAACATTCTTGTGCATAATTTTCAAATATGTGAAAGGTTTTCGGACACGCTTCCGAATTTATTTATAAAATGCTTGTATAGTCTGAAGCTATAAAGGCATGCAATTAAGAAGATATATTTTAAATACTATTAATGAACCCTAAGTATATAGTTGCAAGCAGATGAAAGACTCTAACGTTTATAGTTGCATACAATTTATACCTTTGTATAAAGTAAACATGGCGCGTGATGGTCGGTAGACCTGATGATGGATGATGTGGCTAATCTATTAATTATCCATAGATGACTGTCGATACAACCATTGTTTTAGATAACGCGCTATTCATCAATCCGCGTGGTGCCATGTTGTTTGATCTACATAATTTGTCTTTACGCTTCGATGCTTATAAAATTTTAAACAGGAATTTATGTGGCGCAAGTACATCCATAGTATGATGTCTTGGCTAACTTTTAATGGTCTTCAAAATTATAAATCGATGAGCTATTGTTCAAAACTAGTAATTTTAAACGTTTTTAACTAAAGAACCCCCCTGAATGATGAAATTTTATGTACTGTACTGATATATCAACCTTTTTGCATTTCAGTGTACTGTATTGAAACTTTATCACACTTATCGCAGAGAAAGTAATACTTAAAAATTCAATGCACCCAAAATATCGAAAGGAAAATGAGAGTGTGGAATTTTGCATGTATTTCATAAACCGCTATTAAAATGTTCTTGTATGTGGTAACATTGCATCTCCAGGGTTTTAAAGCTTCGTTAAAACTTCAGTTTTTATGCCGGTTGTAAACAGCTATTCATTTTTTATTGATGCAGTATTGGCTCCTGTGGTTTTATTGACTGTTGGCCAATGTACATATTCATTTTCATTCATTATCGCATTTTGTTTTCTGCGTTTTTGTGAAAATATTTATGGAGGGTTACATGTACTAAAGATCTAATATAATTTTGTATTATGTGAACGTGTTAAACGCAAGTAAATGTTTACTTAAGGCATTGGTGCATAATGAAAACCGTAAAAAAATTATGATTGGACGTTTATTAAAATGATGAGTTCATTTTCTGTTCTTTGATTGGGAAAATTAGAACAAGAATAGACGTAAGAATATGTGTACGGAATGCATAGGCGAGTCTATTGTCATGCGTTGCGCGATGCAGTTGCATAAAGTCATTGTATCTTGCTGTTGTGTAACCGATTTGGGCCGTGGCGCAGACCTAAATGGTAGCAACGATAAACTACTTCGGTAATACGCCCCTTTGATGATAATCGCAATTTCCAAAGGGAAATATTAAGCACGGTTGCATTGCTCTTGATCAGTATAGGCACTAATGCGACATGAATAATAATCACCTACAAATAGATAAGCAACGCTTTGTTCTTTATAATGATGAAGTAATAAGACACAGTCAAGTCCGGTGCTTCGGTTTTATCGATATTCTCGTAATGATAAACTGTAGGGCTTTTTAGTATAATATAATTGTCTTTGTAATTTATGTACGGATATACACATAGAAATGGTCTTACCTACTAGGTCATCAACATACAGAATCTCCCATTACGCCAGAGCTAGGGACTCGTAATCATTATTCATCAAAAGCCCTCACGTAACTCTGACACGCTCGAAGCGGCGGCGTCGGACAAGTAATCAGCTTTTTGAATAGATTTCTCCAACTCCTTTTGACGGCCAGGATTCTCCACACTTCATTTTGTCGGTAGCGCGTTTCGATGGGTATTCACGGAACTTGCTTCGTCATTGTTGTTGATAACTGTTTATATTGTATTGTACGACCCTTAGAGACGGGAGCCATAGGAATGGCATGCGCTATGTGAAAGACTAATCAATGTTTGTTGCTGTCGTTGAGATAGAAAGTTAAAGCCAATGAACTGTTGATTATCGGTCATGGTCACGGGTTTTCATCTATAATATCTTGTGGTAGTGTTTTGCGGATTATCTTACGTCGGCGTACTTTATAGTAATCATATGATACCCTTGAGTTTAAAGTTAAATGTATCCTAATTGAATGTCTTCTTTGTTGCAGCGGTGGTCGTTCGCTATTTAACCAAACGTTACATAGGAGAGTACAGCTCGACAGGAGGTAAGTTCATCGATAAGTAATATTCTACTTTACGACACAGTGTATAAAATGTGGAAAACGTTATTTGTTTCGTTCAACCAACCACTATGCTAATTGAGTATTTATTAACTATTCAGTTAATAAATTTTATCGCGTGTTTACTTAAATTAAAATGTCTCCTTTCTTCCTTGAGGCTGAAACAAATGTAATTTTTTTACGTCACATCATATCTTGCCAGGATTTAAATTAGTACGTACTTATTTTAAGATGAAATTACTTTTGGTTGTGGTATTACCACTTTAATAGTATTTTAATGCAAAGTATAAATTACATTTCTGTGGTGCAATAAACGGCCAACCATTTATACAAATATTATGTTGCTTCAGATTTCCTTTATCAACATCGAGTGGCTTTCGATGGTGCAGTCTCGGAAGTTGAAATACTGGACACGTCAAACTGTGCGGTAAGAAGCAAGTTGCTACAAAGTAGATTATAATGGGGACATAACTTTGGTTAATAACAAACAGTGGACGTCATCATGATTTAAGTTCCATGTAGCAAATGAAGCGATAGACAGGGCCAATCTTTATTTAGCGGTAGACAATGGAGATGTTAATCTGCGCGCGGGCCGGCTCGCTGCTGATGCTCGCTGTACAATTTAATTAGACAAAGTTTATGGACCTTGTACCCGCACTATCAGATGTGATCGTACTGCACCGATTCGCCTACAGGCCCACTCCGAACCCACGCGAATCGAATGCGTATTACGTAAATTATGTTTTGATAATCTCTTTTGCTGTTGCTTTTTGTTTTATCTTGAACGATGATTAGTTGTTCCAAGCCGTAACGGAACTAAAAGAACAACCGTTTCGAAGCTTCGCGTTGCGCAATCGCCGATATATTTTATCGGTGCAGCGACTGCCCTCAATTTTACTCGTGACTTATGACCGCGTTATAATGAAGTCCACGGACTTTTTATTCGTATCTGGATTTATGTATAGACCTAAAAAAAGTGTACCATCGTCCAATATTAACAAAGTAGTGAAGAGAGCACAATGTCCTGTTGAAAGAACCGGTCCGCGCGTTAAAAGTTTGTTTACTATTGGTTCTTTTTTGTAAAATTCCGCGAACTTTAATATTTTCGAGAGCTTTTATTTTTGGCTCAATGCGAACAAACTGCCGGGAAGGTTAAAGACACGATAATGTATTTTTAATAAAAAATAAACACTTTCTTTCATATAGATTCGTGGATGTCTAGCAGAGCACGTGCGATGGGGGGATGCATTTGCCGTAGTGTATTCCGTGTGCGAGCGACGATCTTTCCTCGCTGCGGCGGAGCTACTGTCGTTGCTAGAGCGATCCCGCCTTCCGGGTTGCGCTGCCGTCACCCTCTTGGGAAACAAACGTGACCTCGAACACGCCAGGTAGGACTGAAGAAAATTGTGTACCAAAATTATTTAAAGCGATATTCGGCTAAGATATCACCATGTTACTCTGGAAACTTGGAGATAATATCAGAAATAGACATTCAGTACTTGAATTTACTTGTTTAGAACGGTGTAATAAATGCTTTATATCTTGAAATGAGACCGGTTTTCAAAATATTTTAATTCAATAGAAATAATTAATTTAACTATCTCTGTAGCCTAACGGTTACCATGCCGGACTGCCACGCAGAGGTCCCAGGTTCGATTCCCGGGCCGGGAGAAATATTTGTATGGCCTACATTTATTTCTCTCGTGGGTTTGTGTGTAATTTGTGGTTGTCTATGTATGTGTCCATGGCACCCGCGACACCGGGTATCCCTAGTACGGGACTTTGTTGAGTGTGTGCGTTATTAAAAAAAAAATACCATCAGTTCGTTTTGATATGCTGGTAGAAATATGCTTCCGAGATACTAATTATTTTGTAAATGAGCAATAAGAATTATTCGTCGTTATAGGATAATCAATGTATATGTCGTTTAGGGAGGTCCACGCAGAAGAGGGTCAGGAATTATCGCTCAGGTTTGGCTGTCAGTTTTACGAGGTGTCAGCGGCGGAGTCGTGCGCGGGCGCAGCACTCGCGTTCCACGCGCTGCTGCGAGAGGCGCGTGCGCTCGCCTTGCTACTACCCTCACCGAGACGCAAACTTGCTGCGTACTCTGTGTCCAAGGTATGTTTTGCCAATATTGTCAAATATAATATTAAAGTCAAGTACATTCATTGTTTGTTCGACATATATATTTTATTCATTAATATTATACACCGTCTTGTCGCAGGTAATCGGAACGATATTTGGGAAAAACAGCAAGAGTGTGAGGAAGAAAAGACCATCGCTCAGTATTTAATTATGTCCCTAAAAGGTATTTATTTCATTAACATATTGTAAAACCCACAGACTGTCATACTCTTAAGTAATGCATTAGTTTAGCTAGAATAAATTTATTGTCAATTGTATAGTAACTTAGTTATTTATATAACAGAGAAAGTAAGTTTGAATTTTGGAGTTATGATGTAAATATGTTAAACGACTCGAGCCTCGCATTTGTATTAAACTCAATGTAAGATATTTTAGAAGCAAATAACTGCTGTAAATATTGAATTAAATTTATTATTACATATTAATGTTTACAATAAACACTCGTAATTAAAATCTACGTTTTATTCCTCCGTCCCGTTAGTTAATACCTCGTCGTACAAATGGAAGTTTTGAAAGATTCTCGATTGTACGAAATTTACCAGCCAAGGAATTTATTTAACTGTTAGTGAGGTACTCTTCGGTATGAGAAGGATTTTCCGATTTTGCGCAATAGTGTTCTTGCCATAACACTGGATGTCTGTACATGTTTTCACTAAGCACATGTCGATTTCATCATTACAGTAAGTTTAATAGAAAGGAACGGTCTTCTGAGTGATGGGAAGTGTTGTGGTCCCACAGTGTTTACTTATAAAACGTTCATTTTCGAACGCCGAGCTGCTAATATGTCTTTCAAAGTAGACAGTAACAAGGCGCTACGTTGACATTTTATTAGCTTCTCACTGCCGACGCCATAAAAGGCATACGTCGTAAAATCTAACTCGATTGTCTGAATATACTCCTAGTGTGAGCAGTTAGTCGGTACGCGTCACGCTTTCATCGATAGTTGTAAGGTATTGTCACGCGGTCGCACTTTGTATAAATATCGTTAAATGATCTAATGAGTTTCTGTTTTCACTGGGTGAATGTCGGACTGAAGTGGACAATTTGCGGCGTTGTCGGACTAATATTGATCGGACAGGGGAGTCAATAGCCGGAGAGAGTTTTGCCACGACTGAGCCTTGCACGTCGGCCGCTGACTCCCGCCTCCCGATCGACTGATAACGTCTCACTGTAGATAGGAACTAATGTGACGTTACAAGTTCACTAATGTGAAAGCTACCGACAAGTGCGAATCTAGAGAAATTTCGTTTTAAAATCTGCGACCACGATCCGATTAGAACACGATTCGACAATCACAAATAGATCGATGGAGCGGAAACAATTGACAACATGTTTGCCATCGATATGAATGTTAAAAACAGAAGCAAGTTCAAGAGCAAGTCGATAAATAAACGAGTACAATGTACGCGGTAGTAGTCGGTAGAAACGAATGGTGGCGTTAGAGCAATAACTAATTGGTAAGCGCAGCAGTTACGTAATAAATGTTCCCTTGGGTCAGTACTCGTATTAAAGCGGGTACAGGTGTATCGGGAGATGTAGAGATATAGTCTATAAATCGGATGCCTTGATCGCATTAGTGGCGCCAACGTTCCGCAGGTCCCAGACTCTTGGCGAACCTGCGCTGCGCAGGACGATCGTTATCTACCCGATTATGGATCATCTTCACTTGATACGGCTCTTCCAATGCCTGCGTAATTCATGACACAAAAGATGAAATATTAATGCTCATCATAATTAATAGAACTCATTGAAATAATGAAAGTGTGGTCACAACATAATAGTGTGTCACTAATTCAATCAGCGAGGTCAAGAACGATGACCTTTTTTTCCAAGCACCACGACATTTAGCTTCAATTAAAGTTTTTAATGAATCGCCATTGACGATGTGCGAGTGAAAGCCTTGAGATGTAATCGAGTGAATCTATCGTAAAATCGCAATGTCTGCCTGCGATGTCTCGATTTCCGCTGGAGGCCTCGTCTAATGAATCCCTGACATCGGTTATATAGAAAATGATATTATAAGTGGTACCATCTTTTGCTGTAATCCGAACGACTTAGGCGTGTTCGAAAATAAAACATCGTGATGTGGCATCATGCTAGATGCAACATTGCAGTGACAGCAATACGATATGTAGAAATACTTGGTATTCGAGCATCGGGACTGTAGATGCGGTAGATAAATTTATCGGTCACTTTCATCTCTCGTTTGAAGATTAAACGATTACTGGTTTCTTCTAATTGCTTGTCTCAGATGGAATCGGTCATTGAGGTTTACGCATGGATAGAGACAAAACTGGTATTTATACGGAATGACGCTGATACCATGATCAACAACATCCTCTTTATGAAGTGGTGTAATTTTAATAGTTATGTAGAGTCGTACGTAGTTTAGAATTTTATTAGTCTTACGATGCGTTAAGCATTGATCGGAATTGTGGAAGTGAATTTACCTAAACTTTGAGCAACGTCGTAATGTAAACATTTCCTTCTACAACTCCCGGAAATATTTAAATATGCCTATTATAATCAATAAAAATCAATCAAAAAATAATATTGTAGTTGTGTTTCTATAGGTACTTACATATACTCGTATATTTAAATACTTTGGCCATTTAAAAAATAAACGTTAGCAACCTCTATTTTGGACTTTTTTGGTTATATCACTAAATGGATACGTCCATACTAAGAAAACGTTTAAACTTTAGGTAAATTCACTCCCTCACTTCCGTTCACTGGTTATAAAGTTTAGTTTGATTGATATTTCTTCGTTAGAATTTATTTATATTTCTCGAGTTTTAAAAATTTGTTGATTCTGAAAAACCAAATCACTGGACTGCGATGAAAGGGATATTATTCGCTATTATATAACTATGTAAGTAGTAATTTCTACAACACCGAGAAATGTACTCCATCACAGTAAGTAAGTCAGCCGCAAACCGCAGGCCGTCCTTGTGGGCACCTTGTCCGTACCTTATGCTCTATTAACTCAAATATGTTAATGAGTCGATATTATTCTCTATTGCATAAGGATTAATGTATTAATTCGACAAACTAAGCGAAATAAGCGACTGTATTTGTTCAATTTGTTTTAGTTCAGTCAGTTCGAACTACAGTTTAGTTTTAGAATGTAAAGTCGACTAAAATTTCAGTAGCGCAGCACATGATTAAATTGAAACAGAAGTAGAGTTGTAGTATCGAGTTCTTAAGTTTTCGCGATTGTTACTTATAGGAAATGAAACTTTTTTCCGGATTTAAATCGCGTATATTTGTTTTTTTCAAACAAACCAATGTTTCAAGGCGGTACAGTCATCAACTAGTTATAATATTGATGCAAACTACCCTTTTCAACCGTGACCATGGGACCTGTAAAGGGCCCGAGTTTCATTTCCTAGAGTTGCAGTAGTGAGAGAGTTAATATGTGACAAACTTACTTATGAGGATTTACTTTTACTTACTATCTTTCTGATTAAAGATTATCGAAAATATTGGATAATCAATTACCAATCGCCAACACTATTTCTGTGGCAATTTCAGATCGATAGGTATGGAGGTGCATTTGCATAATGAAACGAAATAATCTCGACAGACATAATCTAATTGTATAACTTCGAAACCGGTAAGGCAAATAGTATCGAGTTAAATATTTAATGGAGTCCGTAGCTGATAATCAGTTGGGCACCTGTCCCACGGCTGACGAATGAGAAGCCGTGGCCAAGCCTATCAGAGAATCACTAGAGAAAGTGAAATTATTTTTAAAGAGTTAATGTTTGCAAGATACGTCATAGACTTACTGAGTTATGCGTTTGAGGAAGTCTTTGATGAATTCTTTTAGATAAGCTGTGTGCACTCTGAAGTAATTTCGTAGCTAGGCACAATGGTTTACTAGCCTTAAAAGGTAAACGAAATATAATGGTAGCGCTTTTATGATATTTTCTCGAAGGACGGCATGTCCTTCAGCATATTATTGGAAATAGTAAAGTTGATTAAATACGTACTTTCGTTTACTTAAGTAGCTGTTTGAAAGGTCAATTATTAAAAAAAATATATATGGTGCCATGACCAGGATGCTTCTGACAAAAACATCACAAGCTATTACCGTGCTAATTGAAAGATTCCTCACTTAGTCACATCCAGCCACTTTTACTTTCGGTCGCATAAATATTGGATGTCCATCGCTCGAAGCGAGTTGATAGATAACGCTAAACGGTTAATTTGTGTTTGTAAGGCACGCGCTCGTGTTGCGCAAAAACACGTCATGCGTGTTGCGCGGACGCTAATGGTCGTCGACCGGCTACCGGAATATTTTGACTTTTGGATCATTTGATATCAGTGTGATTTATAAGGTTGTGTAACTTTAATGCTGGCTAAAGGGCATATTTTGTTTGGACATGTCTAGTACCTTACCCGTACCTCACAAGCCCGTAAAAAAGAAAGTTTAACCACTTTTAATATCATGAAAATTATCGATATCTTTTAGCGTGAGCTACATTTTAATTACCAAGAAGCATTTTAACAAGGTATTTCTATCTATGTCCCACACACAAACAGAAATTCAAACTCACCAAGTACAGTTTAGTTGCAATAGAGCTCCTTGTGAGAGAGTTCGACCAGGGAAGTGCTGCCACCTTACCTATTTCTGCCTCCAAGCAGTAATGCAAGCATTATTGCGTTCCGGTTTTGAAGGGTAAGGGTGTTGGTGAAATTACAGTCACTTGGGACTTGTCAACTCACTGAATGGCATTGCAACTGTTATGAACAGGCGTACGACTTATTCGTCCCTTTACTTGGTATCATAAAAAAAGTATAAGAAAAGTTGTTTGTTTTATGATATTTCGAGTTTATGAAAAATACCTTGTAGAGGTGTGTCCGACTATAACGTTCAACAGAATATTTTGTATATGCCATACCGCTAAATAAGTATCTACATGTTACGAGTATTACCACCGCCAGTTTCACATTGGTGACGTATAGTACACTTCAAACACGACTTTAACGTCAGATAGCGTCAATCAAAATATAATATGTTACATTTCAATTATTACAATAATATCACGACTCTATTTTATTGACGTGGAATTATTTGTGTATATCGTGTGGGTGAGCAGGATGTGAACTCAAGTAAGTCGTAGAGTTTATTGACATTTAGTGTTAGGAACTACTAGAAAATAATTACAACATTTTTGCATTAAAAAAAACCGACCTTAAAATGTTTGTGGAATCTTAATGTATGTGATTGCAAAGTAACTGATAGTGGGGCAAATCCAATAAACCGAATACATCCTCTAATTTGCCACCTTTAGAGGTGGAATATTTTCTTCAAACTTGAATGAGACCACGGCTAAGGTACCCTATTTCCAACAATCGTATAAGATACAGTCAAAAATACAGTCGAATTCAGAACCTTCTCTTTTTTCTCGATTAAAACATTGTGATAGCTTAA